CATTTTTATACATGTTTGATAGACCTGGGTAGGCGAAATGCAGCGGTAGACCTCACGCTATAGTAGCACCTATTATTCTATGAGGACCAGTTTCTGTGATGGACTGGATATTAACAGAATTGAGTAAAGAATATGTGGAAAACATGATAATTAATTAAAATCTTTCATTTTAATTCAGTACAGTCCAGGGTACATAGAGGATCTTGATATCTGAGAAGAATTGGATATCCTCAAAGGTGTAACAAAACAGCAATCTTAAAGATAATAAAGAAAGGATCCATGACTTTAAATATAGTTGTCTAAAACCTTTCCATTTAAACTTGTATAAATTATTATTATTATTAAATGTTTTGAAAAGTTATTCATAAATAAGTGACATCTTAATAAACAACGAGTTCAACAGCAAGAGTTTTGAATGCAAAACATTTAAAAAAAAACTACATTAAAATTATAAAATTTTGACTTACTTTTATTTCTGCGGAACAAAGAACTGATTAAGGAACTTATGCTCTGAGGCTTTTCATCAGAACTGAGAGGGGCAAACTCGGTCAGGGATGTTGGAGACTCAAGCTTTTTAGCCAGAAGACGAGGATTCTGCTTCTCAGAGTTCTGCATTCCACTAACTGGTAAAATTGTATGATATTTCAAGCTCAAAATATTACACAATAAAAAACTACTTACATCAATGTAATAAATGAATTACTTACAGTGATTGTTACTGCATTTGCTAGTTTCACTTAGTTTTGTATTTCATTTTGATAATCTTGTTAAAGGAAGAAATTTAAATTGCTACAAAAAAATCAGTTAATTTCTAGTGTGAAGACCTTCAAGCACGTTAGTGTCACATAAACTGATTGACTGATTGAAATCATGGTGAAATAAATTAATGAAATTACTGTTTTCAATTTTTAGCACTTTCAATTATTATAATTATGTAAGTAATTACAAAATTGCCAACCAAACTTGCTTGTCCAGTCTTTGTTATGACAAAGCTACTAAGGCTATCTACCATATTTTTAAATTCTCATTAAAAGGAAAGCAACTTAATGGTAGCACATGCCACCAGCTTGTTTTTGTTGTTGGCAAACTGAAGAATAGGAGGAAAGTAACTCTGGCAACACCCTCTGATGCTTTTTTTTTTAATTTTTGATTGTAAGTACATTGGTTTGAGAAACACTGTATTAACTGGTAACTGATTAATACTATGTAATCAATGAATGGGGCTGTCAACTAATTGCTTAGCCAGTATCACTAATTACCCAGCTCTATTCTTGAGGCAAGTGAGATGTAGCCATAAAATGGCATTTTTCCACAAGAGGAGGAATGAACAGTACATCAACAGTTGTATAATTCACCCAGCCATCAAAGATTAACAAGTTAATCTAAACCATCCTGATATGGCCTGCCAATGTCCAGTGAAAGTCTCTGTACTGTATTTAACCTAATGAAAAATGGCATTTTATTGCAACAACTTCAAAAGAGAAAACGGTAAATATATCATGGAGTAAGCTGAAAGGTGTAAAGGAATTATTGTATGAGCCTTGTCTTTTGAAACAAAATATTACATATCTATGGCATTACAAGTTTTTGTTCTCAAAGTCTTATTTTCACAGAGATGGTAATATTTTGTGTAAAAACTAAATAAGTGTGATCTTTTATAAATAAAATATGCCTTTAAATAAATAAATTCGAGATATTCATATATATTATAATTGAAATAATTTAACCTGACAATTATCTATACAATTCTTAAGTCCTGAAACATGAACAGAAAATATTTAATCCATTTTCTACAAAATTTCCTACTGAAATGTATGTAGTCACAACAATATGCAACAAAACTCACAAGTCTGTATGGCAAATACTATTAATCTTATTGAAATCCACTCATAGTTAATACATCAAATTGCAAAAAAGTTGATAAGATTATTGAACATCAGATATTACTAACTAAATATTCAAGAACTTAGCTAGAAATATATATAATATAATGAAAATAAAATAGTATCCAAAATTTAATTTCTGCAGAAACTCAATTTTAAATTATATATATGTAATTATGTATATCTCAAAATGTAGGTATCCAACTGATCAAGTTAAACATAGATCACACCCTAGTTTTAACAGCACTATTAAAGTTGGATATTCTACACTTTCTGATCATTTGAACTGTGATACCTAGTGCAGGATATCATCTACCCCTTCTACTCGAGCATAAAAAAAAATTCTGACCAATGCCCTAGCAATTAACAACTTCATAAAAAGAATTCCAAAATCTAATTGCCATAAAATGTTGATACTGTTATTTTACACTGTCCAAACATTTTTCTATTTTCCAATACTCCAACATATTTTTTCTAATCTTTTAGGCTCTATCATTTAAAAATAAACATTCAAGGTTTAAATGTTATTCACAGTATACATCCAGTTCTGGTTTAACAACTCAACTGTGTAAAAACACATATTTATCTTTTATTACCTTATTGTTACTAATAACTGTAATATATTGTATACTTATT